TGTGAAGGCTAATATATCCAGCAACAGTAAGATAATAACCAAGGTATGTTAAAAACACGTGTACAAAACAATTGCATAATAATACATCTATATTTATTTTTTCAAATATTAATTTTAAATAACAAAATAAACTTTTTACAAACTGCAAATAACATCAAGTGACATCAAGGAAGTTACTGGCCTATAGAAATAATTATTGTTATAAAATATATTTTTTTTTTCAAATTACAATAAAACTCAATAATTAAAAGATTTTACTATTTTACACCATTGTAACACATTGTTTGCACATGTGGCTGGTACTTTTTCAATCATCCGTTGCAATATTACACCAAAGTTACCAGAGTGATGAGGTTGTTAGCTACATTTCTGATATATTACCATGCAAAACACCTTAAGTTGAAAATACAACCCATGAAGGTAGAGACTGTACTGACAATTACTTTCCAACATTTATGACATGTGTAAATCACATTAGTTACAGTGAAGGGCATAAAGCTGGGTATGTTATAAATATTTCATACATGTAAATTTTCATAAATCAAAATGATTGTTAGAAATCACATGGATCAATCCAGAAATGATGTGGCGACATTGTGAGTTCTAATTTTAGTTTGTTAATATCATCCAATCAGAAAACCCTTTATTTTAAATGAGATGTTGCAATTGCTATGTCACGTCAAGTTATTCACGTACATTATTGGCGTAGACAGTGTGGATCTTCTCAGCCAATCATTATTAAATATTTAAATTTGAATGAAAGCTGATTGTCAGTATACATTATAAACTAAGATGCGGCTTTCTGCCTTTTACTGTATTACCTGATATTTATGAAGTTTAAAAATGATAATCTATGGACGGAAGATTAATGAATTCTTGGAAGGACTATGGTATAATGTTTCAACAGTAAATGATATCAGAATGCTAACAAATCTTGGTAATAGAAATTCCAATCACCTTGGCAATGTTAGCTTTAGAAGATTTATTTTTATGTTTTTTAAACAGTTCAGTTATTTACTGTATGCCACAATTTACTATTTTCTTACTAAGATCAATATGGCAGAAGCATTCCAGATGTATACATATTTGTTAGTGTTAAAAAATAAGCTGACACACATGGGAAGAGAAAACCATGTGTCAAATAAATTAAATATGCAAACGTGTGTCATTTCTATCACAGATCTGTAAACTGAAATTTTCGCGAGTCAATATTGTAAATATTTGTAGCAGGGAACATTTCAATGGGCTACTAGACTCATCTACTGATTGTTTGTAAATGTAATAATTTGGGTTCCACTTTTTGCCCGTAATAATCTTTAATGGACAGTGTACCCCTGCACACAGCCACAATTTCCGCCATCTGTTGGTCATTAATCTTGTCACAGTATTCAAGATCGATATGACTCATACGGGGGATGTAACTGATGGAACGACGTGGCACATGCAGGTCTTCAAATTCCTGAAAAACAGAAGAAAATAAATGATGGATGGAACAAAATTAATCAGAAATGGAGTATTTTAACTACCCTTGTAACCTTCTCATTTTGAATCCCGAACAGTACACCTTTTTATTACAAACTGCAAATAACAAAGTAGAATTGTATGAGTAGTAGTGTCTGTAAACTTGCCATATACAACTATAACATTATCATAAACTGTGACAGAATAGCCATATATGGAGATGATATCTGAAACACTGCCCATATATGGAAGAACACTTACTTCATCACTCGAGAATCCCGATATTTGCATGGCACTCTCTTTCGCCTTCAGTCTTAATAAAGCTTGGCATCTCCTCCATTTGTTCAGGTCTAATAAAGAGCAAGTCAACATATAACCATGCGATGTCGAGTCAAATATTTGTAGTGTGTAGGCATGTTTAGAGCCGCACAAATCACGGTAGAAGTTCTTTCAGTTTTAAATATCAATCTTGATACTTTACGTTGCCATAATAGCTCATGAAATAACGCCGCTGACAGTGCTTTTTTTTATTCATTTGGTCTATTAGCAAAGGCTTTCAGCAGGTGATGTATTAAGGAAATGCTGAATGAGGAATATTATATTATTGTGATATTAGTATCAGTCAGAGATGAATGTCTTGTAGATTATTTAGGACTCCAGAGAGTCCAGAAGTTTGGGTGTGCAAGTATATGTGGTACGAACATTTTGACGACTTCAATTTAACTTTACATCGCCTTGTGACACAACCTACATTGTGACACCCACACTATTTTCATGATTGATATTAATATTTAATCAAATTTAAGTCAAGTTTGCAAAGCTTAGGTTTAGTATAGGTGGAAGGTATGGTCCAATTTATAATAATATAATTATACCGTACCTACCTACCTCCTTTACTAAACCTACCCGGGGTAAACTTCGCAAACATTTATTTGATAAGTCACAGGATATTCAACTTTCATTTAATTAAACTTAATTAAAATGCAATTCTATGTTGAATTGCACTTGTGATTGTAATTGAGTTTAATTAAATTCCAATTAAAACAACTATGAATGAGCTCATTTTAATTGAGTTCATATCGCAACTACCGGTATATTAAAAGTTAATCCAACATGTGACGTTGAAAATGTACATCATAATTAAAAACAGAGTAATAGCTGTAAAATGGATCTTTAGCAAAGTCAGCATTATACAAGCTAACTTGGCTTCTTGTAAGGATGAAATAGTTTTAGTCAGAGTGGCTACAAAAATGCAATGTTTATACTAATTTTAACAGGCATGTACATGTAAAAGTGTATCTGAAAAACAATTGCCAAAAATGACAAGCAATACTACTGCACCATGAGTGATGTAAATATCAAGTTGGAAAGAATTCACCCCAGGTATGCCAACAAACATGGTTATGACTTGATTTTTTTGATTGATTTTTTATGTCTCTTAGGACATTGGTTTCCAGTCAGTCAGTCAATCAATCAATCATAAATGGAACAAGAAACAAATCAATTTGCATGCGCAGACTATTATGAGTCCTGTTTGGATAATTTACCGTACTTCCCCGAGTATAAGCCCAGGGACCTGAATATGTAAAATCAGAAAAAATAATACTTGAGGACCACCTCAGAAAAAATAATTTTTTGGTGCGTTTAAAACTGTAACCATCTTCCCAGCCTCGAAACATTATCCAAATTACATGCGATCTGTTAACACTAATTTCGACAAAAAACAGTGACTTTTTTCCCTAAAAGCTGTTGATTTGCAATTTTCGAAAGGTAAACTGAAGGTGTGGGAAGTATTTAAACCTTTCACGGCCGCCAACAAGTCATATCGAAGAATAGTTTGCTCGTTCACACCCCATTCACAATAGTCTCAATGGACATGATTATTTGGAAAAGTAGTGACCAGGTTTCACGACTTGACGATCACATGCCGTTTGGAAAACTACTATTAAATATGGATTATTTCAGTATTGCAACATCGGGGTTCATTCCAAGTAAATAACAGAATAGTAAACGTGCGAACAATGCAAGTTCGCCCGCCCGCCGTGCACTCTGAAATTAATGCAAGTTTTCTCATAAGAGCTGGAACCAAACTACTGTACCAATCATGATTTTTATGTAATGAAATACACTTTTTACATGCATATTTTAATAAATGTCGTCAACGCCCCGTAAAAACACCTTGGGCCTATACTCAGATGCCCTCTGTTTTTGGTCATTTAAAAAGTTGAGGTGGGCTTATACTCTGGGAGGGGGTTATACTCGAGGAAGTACGATATAAATTGAATCTGAATTGAAATAATTTTGACATGGATCAACACAAGTTTCTAAATAATGATGTTTTTGTTACCTGCTATGATGGGAAGGAATGGCTTAGATGTAATACACTTCAATCCAGCTAGATTAACATCAAGTAAATTAGAACATGATGAGAACAATGCAGATATAGATGCATCTGTTAAGTCTGTAAAAAACAAGTCATTGTCAATGACACGTCCCCGTTCCGTTCATATTTGAGTGACATATACATTCAAAGCAGATCATGACCGAAATGCACCTGCATATGTACAACACATTGTGCTAAATCTGAACAAAATCCATCCATGCATGACTGAGATCCGGTTCTGGAATTGTGAAAATACGTGATTTTGATGCATTTTCGGCCTTAAAATGGCCATCATTCCGCTATTGTTAAGCAGATCATGAAACAAATGCACATATCTATTTGTGACATGATGTACCATGTGTGTGTGAAGTTTGAACTTGATCAATCCAGACATGTCTTGGATACGGATCCAGAACTGAATTCTTTAACAAAATGGCCGCCAGTCGGCCATTTCGAACTTGATCCGAAAAAAAAAAGACGTGCATCAAGGTCCTATTATGTTTAATGTATGTACCAAATTTGAACAAAATCCATCCATGCATAACTGAGATACGGGTCCGGAATGGTGAAAATGTGCGATTTCAATGCATTTTCGGCCTTAAAGCGGCCCCCATTTGGCTATCGTTAATGAGATCATGAAACAAATGCACATACATATTTGTGACATGATGTACCTTGTGTGTGTGAAGTTTGAACTTGATCAATCCAGACATGTCTCGGATACGGATCCAGAACTGAATTCTTTAAAACAAAATGGGCCGCCAGTCGGCTATTTCGAACTTGATCGAAAAAAAAATGACGTGCA